ATATATATATATATATATATATATATATATATATATATAAGTATATACATATTATTAAAGAGTTATTTATTGTTATATAGTGTTATGTCTGGATGTAAAAAATTCCTTATCAGCCATGCTTACAGTCTCGCATTAACACTTGGGTGTTGCTTTTTTTAACGTGACTATAATCTAGCGGCTTAAAGTGCTAAGCAAATGTAACACTCGTAAAAATTATATAAATTCATTGCTAAGAAAAGTTCAACTTGGAAATAACGACCCTTGAAATTTGCGCAGTCCCTGGTGTATGCACTAAATCGACCCGGACGGTAAGCTTTTTTTAAAGACTGGATGAACCTACAAGTAGGAGCGTCTTTGAAAATAACACAATTCCTAAAAAACAGCGCATCCCCTAAAATAGCACCATCCCCTAAAATAGCACCATCCCCTAAAATAGCACCGTCACCTAAAATAGCACCAACCCCTAAAATAGCACCATCCCCTAAAATAGCACCATCCCCTAAAATAGCACCATCCCCTAAAATAGCACCGTCCCCTAAAATAGCACCGTCCCGTAAAATAGCACCATCCCCTAAAATAGCACCATCCCGAAAATAGCACTATCCCCTAAAATAGCACCATTCCCTAAAATAGCCCCATCCCCTAAAATAGCACCACCCCCTAAAATAGTACCATCCCCTATAATAGCACCATTCCCGAAAATAGCACCATCCCTTAAAATAGCACCATCCCCTAAAATAGCAACATCCCCTAAAATAGCACCATCACCGAAAATACCACCATCCCCTAAAATGGCACCATCCCCTAAAATAGCACCATCCCGTAAAATAGCCCCATCGTTTTCGCTCATTACCTTTTAACCTAACCTGATTGCTGTCTTTCCCCTTTATTACCAAGTCCAAATCGATCGTAAAATCACAACGGGATCTGCCAGCGATGTAATTCTGTGGTTGGCTTTCGTCGGGCCCCCGATAAGACGGTGGCGTGGTTTTCGCAGGACAATAACACAAAACCTGGGACTTTGTCAGGAGAATAACCTAGTTCGATGTCAAAGCATCTGGTCATCCCAGGGGATTGTAAGGAGGATGATATAGCTTGGCATCAGGTACGTGCCAAGAGTTGACGGCGTTTTCATTGACTCGATGGCGTACCACCCAAGAGACTCCATCTTCGGACGCAGTATTTCGTACCTCACATATAAGTGTTATCAATCTATCACTGCACTCTAACTCTTTATAATAAACATAATTTTCCAGCCTTGTTTATTAATTTTTTTTTTTTTTTGCTGACTAGACTCTCCACCTTATGACTATCTTATCCAAACACCTACCGACTCCACAGCGATCTTCATACGTTAAGGGCGTCGGATCCTGGTGTTCAGGTGGAAACACCCTCCTCCCCCCCCCCCCCACATTCTAACCCCCATTTATTAATTTTTTTTTTTTTTTGCTGACTAGACTCTCCACCTTATGACTATCTTATCCAAACCCCTACCGACCCCACAGCGATCTTCATACGTTAAGGGCGTCGGATCCTGGTGTTCAGGTGGAAACACCCTCCTCCCCCCCCCCCGCACATTCTAACTCCCATTTCTCTAAACGACGCTCTCGCCACGCCCTAATCTTGATGTCACGTGATTATGGTGTTGTTTTGCAACCACGTACACACATTCACACAGAAATCTAATTTTATAATCTGGCCGTTTAGTTAGGACTTAAGCTATTTACCAGAGAGCTTAACATACTTTATGCTTGTGCCGTTACTCAAATCCAGGGGTGAATCCTGAACAATGTTCGAGGGGGTTGGGTGGGGCTGGGGGGCGGGTACGTCTTAGAACTCATATTAATCTCATACACCTTTTCACCTCACATTTTTTAAATTTGTTCAATTAAAAGTAAACTGGGGGATGGGGGAAGATTCTTTGGTTTATATTGCTAGCTGGAGTTCCGCCCCTGCACACGCATGCAAATCCGTTTTTCTTTTACAGTTGAGGCTTTTTTACATTTTTTTATTTTAAAAAATATATAAAAATTCGTTGTCGCTAATAAGTATTGAAAGTTAAAATTTTTTTTTTTCAGAAAACCCACTTGAAAAGTGAAAACTGTTGGTCTCCAATGTTTGGGAATGTATAATCTCAGTGTTAAGAAAGTATTTAATTGATGGAAGTTTCTGCTAGAGTACAAAATCCGCAAACCAACCCAACCCCTTGCCCTCTTCTTTCAAAAACGTATTTGATCAACAAGGGGATTAGCAGTAATTCGACAATGCAACAAAATCCAACAACCCAATGAACTGTTCTCAAGTTTTAACAATCAAATACTGAAACTCTGGAGTGGGCAGGGAGTGACGGAGGTGGGGCGGGGTAATTTTGAAGACAGCAGGCGGCAGAGGTAAAAAATAAAATAATTGCGATCAGTACATGGGATTAAGCTTGTCGGGGTCTGCAAGGTAGTATATAGTGTTTGAGCGTCGGATATTGTCTAAATGAAATCTCAACCAACGTTAGAAACTTATGCAGGCTTTTCGAACCAGTCCAATGGAATACAGATTTATTATTGTTTTTGTATTCCTTCATTTTGAGGCTACAAGTAAGATGTTTTTTCATTAATCGGGGTTTAGATTTGGTGGAATGATAATTTGTGATTACATGCATAATATGTTTTCAAAAGTGATGAAGGTCAAGAAACCAACAAGGCTGCATAAATGTGTATGTTTGTAACGCTACTGACTCTTACAACATTTTAGCACTACTTGTGATAGATGGTGTGATGTTTTGAAGCTAGGTATTTATTTAGAATAAATTCTTCTCAGAGAAAAAAAAACCCACACATTTTATACTTGACTTTTCCTGAATGAATCTCTTCCAGTGCTCGGGGAAAATTTAAGACATAAACTTTATTCAAAAATTTATATTTGACGAATGGACCTCTAAAGTGTGGCGGTAGGACCTCTATAAATTGTTGTGAATTGACCTCTAAAATGTAATCAATGCACCTCTAAAATTTGGTGAAGGGAACTCTAAAATGTGGTGAATGTGCCTCTAAAATGTGGTTAATTGACCTCTAAAGTGTGGCAAATTTGATTTTACCCTAAATAATGAATAAAACTATAATGCAATAGCGAGCGTACAATTCAACTATTTCTTAACCCATGATTTCTCATAACGGTGGAACGTAGCTTCCATTGTGCCACGGCATGTACCGAAACTCGTAACCTAGTTTACCTCATACACTAAAAAAGTGTATGTGTACATATATTTGTTTGAATCGATTTGATACTTACGGAGTGAATTTATGCTACCTAAATCGTGTATTAGAAATGTGAGATCTCTATTTTTTTTTTAAATAAAAAGCAATTTAAATTAAAGAACCCTTCAAATCAAAGATGTTCGTATTAATACTAAATAAAATGTACTATCGAGCGATGGGGGTGGGGCTAAAATTTGACAAAACATGCATACAAGTAACGGACTTTAAAGAATCAAAATTAATGCTCATCCCCCCCCCCCAACCCCCGATGGTTCGCAAGGCAAATTTTTTACGCCCCTGAACTATTTTACTATTCTAATACCCCCTTGCTTTTACACCAAAGATTTAATACACCAAAAATTTTAGAAAAACAAAAGAAAATATTACGCACCAAACGGACTTGCAATATTTTTTTTTTTTTTTTAAAGAATCTCATTTAGCGCAATTATCGGGAACAAAGGAACAACTGTTTAATAGGGGTTTGAGTTGCGGTTGGGGTTAAGGCAGATATAGACATGGGATGAAATGACAGCGTGTCAAGGCAGATATAGACATGGGATGAAATGACAGCGTGACAAGGCAGATATAGACATGGGATGAAATGACAGCGTGTCAAGGCAGATATAGACATGGGAGGAAATGACAGCGTGTCAAGGCAGATATAGACATGGGATGAAATGACAGCGTGTCAAGGCAGATATAGACATGGGAGGAAATGACAGTGTGTCAAGGCAGATATAGACATGGGAGGAAATGACATCGTGTCAAGGCAGATATAGACATGGGATGAAATGACAGCGTGTCAAGGCAGATATAGACAAGGTATGAAATGACAGCGTGTCAAGGCAGATATAGACATGGGATGAAATGACAGCGTGTCAAGGCAGATATAGACATGGGAGGAAATGACAGTGTGTCAAGGCAGATATAGACATGGGAGGACATGACATCGTGTCAAGGCAGATATAGACATGGGATGAAATGACAGCGTGTCAAGGCAGATATAGACAAGGTATGAAATGACAGCGTGTCAAGGCAGATATAGACATGGGATGAAATGACAGCGTGTCAAGGCAGATATAGACATGGGATGAAATGACAGCGTGTCAAGGCAGATATAGACATGGGATGAAATGACAGCGTGTCAAGGCAGATATAGACATGAGATGAAATGACAGCGTGTCAAGGCAGATCTAGACATGGGATAAAATGACATTTTTTCAAGACATAGATAGTTTTCAGAGGAAGTTTGAGATTCAGTATTAAATTTTGAATATATTAATTTTGAATTTCGAGACTATGCTATGAAATTAGACAATTTAATTGTGTTTTTTTAGGTGATATTTAAACTGAGACGATAAGATTAACTTAGCAATTAATTTAGCGATGTTAGAGATGAAGCGTGGACATATGAGATTTCATTTAAGCTAGAACACTCTGCTGGTAAAACTTATGTTTTGAACAAGTTATATCTTAAAATACGTGTACGTGAGGATATCACTCGAGTTAGAAATCTGACATAATTTGAACTGGCACAGGTCCTAGGATTGAGCCCGATATTTCTAATAGGGTTATCGTTATGTTGGTGGTGTTTTTAAAGCCGTAATCAACCATTGAAATAAAAACACATCTTTACATGTAAGCCGATAACTTTTGCCACGATGATTTCATTTTGATAAGCGAGGCCCAAGGCTTGCTGTGTTAGAGCTTATTAATATTATTTATATCTGAGCATTGTATTAATATTGTTTTTCAGGTTCAGGTTCTGGTCCCGTACCGTGTCCCAGGTTAAATTGTCCAGCCGTGAATTGCCCGGCAGGGTTCGGAATCTTTGCCGACAAGAACGGCTGTGCCGAATGTAGATGTAAGCCCACGTGTACCAGGACTTCCTGCCCGAACGAATGTCCGGAGGGATACTACCGGGACGAGTACGGCTGTCTGAACTGTACCTGCGTGTTTGTGTGTCCATCCCTTCAGTGCTCGAACCCATGCAAATACGGTAACATTTTTGACTCAAACAGATGCCGGACCTGCAACTGCACCGTGCCCGTGTGCCCGGATCTGAAGTGTCCCAAAACGTGTGAGGATGGATACGTCACCGACGCCAATGACTGCAGGACATGCGAATGCATCCCTTACGTCTGCCCGGTTCTCAGGTGCGATCGGGTGTGCATCAGAGGCTTCGTCAAGTCGGCCAAGGGCTGTGAGACGTGTGAATGCGTGCAGCATTGCTCCAGTGCAGCCTGCAAGGCTTACTGCAGCTCGGCGACAAAATCCTCAAAGAACACATGTGGATGCCAATGTAACGATAGAGTCAGGGTGGGGTGAGGCCGTCTGTCGTCTAGGATGACACCAATGCATGGGCCGACTTGTTAAGCCATATCAATGGGCGACTTCACGTAACGAAATATGCTTTAGAAGACATAATAATCTTGTACTGTTGGTGGCAAGATGCCACCACCAACAGTACACAATTGTGAAATCATCCATTGTGCTGCGTTTGCGTGGTCATTATCACTTGTATGTGTGTGTTGTGTCTGTGCCGACCAAATCTTCGTCTTGGAACCCTTGTCGTTGTTCGCCCCTTCAATAACGTTGTCTACACTCACCATTCACCAAAACTCAAGCAAATTTTAATGTCTACCGCGAGTTACTATTGAAATGGAATTGCCAAGAAAAAGTAAAGAAACTGTGCAATTCAAAACTACTTAAAACTTTTTTGTCATTGTTTCGCCCCCTGATTTCATGCAATGTAATGAATCTAATAAATATATACATTGGTCTAAGCCATTTATGTGCGATCTCTTACTTATATTGGTTAGAAAAAATGTAAGTTATTCTAAGGCTTAAAATGGTGCTAAGAATTAAAATTAGTAAAGAAGTTTAGAACAATAAATTTTTAAAAAAGTATCTAGAGGAGGTAATCACAACGGGTTTATTTTTTTAACGGTTATTGCCCTTTAATAAAGGCTTTATTGAAAAATGTCAACAGTCTTTTCATAAATGTCAAAATGGAAATGGTTTAAACATGTTGTAAATGAATTGATTTTCAGGAATATTTTCGAACAGCTGACCGAAGCGCCTGTTAGCTGAGCTCATGAGGCCAATTAGTCAAACAAATGAAGCAGACTTTTTAAAAAAAAAGTCTTGAATTGTTAAAATTACAAAATTCAGTTGCCGTCAGATCTTAGTTATCGATCTTTAAGTAAAGATATTATATATATTATATTAAATACCGGTATCTATATTTTATAGTTAAAATGCTATAAAGGTGAGATCTAGAATTATCAAGATTTAAAAAATAAAATCGCAAGTTTTAGTCATGTGGAATGTTGGTGAGAGCCCAGAAGACGATACGGGGTAGCAGGTAAGCACAGCACATCACTACAACAAGAGTGCGTTTCTCAGAGTTTCTGTGAAATTTGTGCTCGCACAAATAGAAACGTGTGCTCGCAGTTTTAGCACATTTTCAAACAAGGTTGACAATAGTATAGATAGAAAGTCTACTCGAACTGAGGGCAACGTGCAAGGCTTTCAGTAGGGCAAAGGAGCTGATCAGGAGCAACCGGTGTAACACACGATCGGAGCTGAGCAGGAGCAGTCGGTGTAAGACACGATCGAAGCAACGATATTAGCTGCCGCCTGTGGTGAAATTGTTTTTTTATATTAGGGGGTTATTGGAACAACTCTCTGATGAGTGTCACACCTGCTTGTGTCTAGGGGTATTTGGTTATGTCGATTTAACACACCAAGCGACATAATTACATTACTCATTTTTTACCTTAACTATCAAATACAGTGGAACCTCTCATAACGAGCATGATTCGTTCCAGAATCTTACTCGTTAAGCGAAACACTCGTTAAACGAAACAATCTTTCCCATACAAATCACTGTAAAATACGAAAATGCGTTTCAAAAATTTCTATTAACATTTATTCAAATAAAATTACGTATGAAATGTTCAGGAGTTTAACAACTTGGAATACAATTTAGATGTGAAACAAAAAACGCAAATAAAAATATGAATATATGAAAAAATAATTATTCCTTTTTAACTAGAAAACTGTCTAAAGACGTTTGTTTTTGCCGACGCTTCAAAATTTGACTAAAATGTGTCGCAGCATTATCATTGAATAAATTTGTAGCACGAATAGCCACCTCCTTATTAGGGTGATGCTTCTCAATGTACGATGCAACAGTTTCCCATGCTTTCAGCATTTCTCTTATTGCGCTAGAAGATTGTTACTCTGCTACTTCCTCCTCCATTAATGAGTTCTAATCCATAATTTCTTGCTGTGAAACACGATGCAATTCCATAAGCTCCTCTGTGATCAACTTTTGACTGTGCTCTTTCACAAGCTCTTCAATATTGTTGTTGTCCACCTCGAGTCCCATGATATTGGCCAATGACACAATCTCGTTAACTGTAGACTCCACAGGTACTGTTTCAAAATCACATTCAGCAACACCCTCTGGCCAAAGTTTTTTCCAAGCAGAGGTGAGGGTCCTCTTGGTAGCGCCTTCCCAAGTCCTGGCTCACAAATGAATGTCGGGAAAAGTAACTTCCCCTTTCTGCGTAACTCGTTATGCGAAATGTCCCTCGTTAAGGGAGCAACTTCTTCACATTTTTTGTTGCTCGTTATGCGAATTACTCGTTATGAGAGGTTCCACTATACTTCATAACAACATTTAGTAAACGAACGTATTTATTTACATGTATCTTAATATATGGCATGATAGTGAAGTATAGGTAAAAAACTATCATTTATAATTTATCTAAGTTCTAGTTTATTATGAGCAATGGCCTCCCGTATAGCCTATTTCTCACCATAACGGTTGCTTTGCTTTGTATCACAATTGTATATACTCAGATATTTAAAATTTAACTTATCAGTCACTCGTGCTGATCCTCTGGCTTGATCAGTCACTAGTAGTTTCGCTTCGATGTGGAGGTGGCTCCTCCGATTCTTCACTCCGGGGCCTTTCAGGGCTCAGCGCTTCACGTAAGTGGGCTGAAACAGCAATGCGATGCAATAGCATTACTTCAAGGGTTGGAAGTGAATTCTCTAATTCTTTACCCCGTGGCTTTTCAGGGCTCATCGTTTCTCAGGGCGTTCACGCAGGTGGATGATATCAGTCACAACTACACCTTCTGGGATACCTCCCCAGTACGCTGTGGTGGGTGTATGTGAGACTTCTCTTTGGGAGTAAAGTCCATCAGTACGCGGTCCTATCGTTGCTGGCGATGAATTGGTCTTCCGGGTGAATTCCTTGGCGGGGGGTTCGTAGACTCAGGCCTCAGTAAACCGATTCTTCAATTCAGCTTCCAAGGTGCGGTTGACTGTAGTGCAATAATACGAAGATCAAGCAACCAGGCAATATGCAGCTTCCAAGGTGCGGTTGACTGTAGTGCAATAATACGAAGATCGAGCAATCAGTCAATATGTGAACGATGATAAAAGAAAAGAGGGGAACAACTTTTCTAATATTCTCGAGCTAACAAACCCCTCTCCAAGGGCAAAGAATTCAGATCGAGGCGTCAAAGGAGATTATACGTTTGACAATGTTAATATCCCTTGTGGATAACCTTATTCATCTTCGACATGGCCGGCGCAAGCCTGGGTGTCTAGCGTCGACACGTGGCAATGATTCTTTTCATACATAATTATACAATGACTTAATAATATACAGAACGGATTAATATAATGTATCCAACTAACTGTAATGGATAATATAATGGCTAACAACTATCCAGTGGCCATATCACCATCCATACGATGGGATGAGGTCTAGATAATAAAAAAACTCAAAAATGGCCGACACGTGTCCTATGATGAAGGCGCGTGTCAAACATTGAGAAACTATAAAGTACAAATGAATTAACTAAATGCATTCTAATATGAATGATCATTTATACACTAAAACATTCATTGTTCACCCAACTATGTCTATGGTAATACAAATATTCAAATAAAGAAATGAAATCGAAATGTTCGTCCAACTCACTAGGTTTAGAAAAAGCCTACTTTACGGTGCTCTAAGTTGACTGCTGACTTAAGAGTCGATCTTGAAAAGAAAGATTTTTAACTTTTGCAACGGCTTTTAAAATGACTCTATTCTAATTGCTTATTGGACAATCACTACCATGTGATATCCCAGTCCAATGAACTTAATATTTTGATGCGTGATATTGTTTCAATAATCGCTCACCCGAGGCGAGACCAAAAAGGGGGGGGGGGGGCGTTTCGATTTCTTTGGTCGGTTAAGGGGTCAGTTCATGGTTCGGTCCACTGCTCAGAGTATTTTTATTTTTTTAAATGGTGTGTGGGGGAGGGGGGGGGGGCGTTTCGATTTCTTTGGTCGGTTCATGGTTCAGTTCATGGTTCAGTCCACTGCTCAGAATATTTATATTTTTTTAAAAAGTGTGTGGGGGGGGGGGAGTAGGTTCTAAGTAGGTCGTCGCGAGTACATGGAAATTTTCATGTCAGCTCCATTTCATCACACCGCCCAAATAAGGTGTTAACAACATTTAAGTAGGTACAATAACTTGCGTTTTCGTGCGCCTCGTTATGATTATCTGAAATGTTGTTCGATCAATCGGAAATAAATCTTGATGGATCACAAGGGAAATATGAAATATCAACTATTTTAAAGGGGGCCGGGGGGGGGCGCTTCAGAAGTGAGGCTCCTCTAAAGGGATGCAAGTATTTCTGACAAGAGTTTACACTATTTTGATGCGGACTATTCCAAACCTGGATAAGCACATGCTATAAAAATATGGTTATTCATTTGTGAGTACTGCTAGTATTCTAATAACGTCACATTGGAGATGACGTCAGTGGGTCCTCGAGCGCAAGCTCTTAATATCCCCCCCCCGCACACCCCCACACGGGCCGTCACCGGGTTTCTCCGCCACCAGACCGTGCGGAAGCACGCCGGGAACCTCCCCACTGGCCTGGATGATGTCCGGTCGACTGAAAACGCTGCCTTTAAAGCGTTCGCGGTCCACTCTCCTTGGGTCTGAACGGCTTTCGTTCCTCTCCGGGGGAAAGGTGTTACGTTAGCCCCCCCCCCCTCCACCGTCCACGCGGAGTTGTCCGGTTGGGACGGAAGCTGGGACGAAACGGTCACCTAGGAGCGGCTTTCTCAGGGCCGCGTATTTAAAATCATCGGCAAGTATTTTAACCGCCGCCCAGGCCTCATATTCATTAACGGCAACAAGTAATCATGTTATTGCGTTACTCCCGTTGCATTGGGAGTCACGCAAGTGTCCCGGAATTTTGGATTCGGGAGGAGAACCTCCCTACTAATCAGGAATGCCACGAAGAGACAAACCTTATGTGACACCTCCGGGTTGCCTCGGTGGTAAGGGACTTTGACTTAGAGGCGTTTAGTCGTCGTCACCCCTGTTGTTAAGTATTCTGAACATTCCATTGGTTAAAACATAACAATTCTTTCACACGCCATGAACATTGTCCCTGAATATTTTAATTTTTTAAATTAAAAAAAAAACAACAACAACAACAACAAAAATGGTTGCCCCAATGAAAATATTGAAAAAAGAAAATTGAAAAAGGTGAACACATTGGGCTACGTTTAGTTGTATGGAGTACTGACACAGCGTGTATGTAGCATCGAACTGGTGCATATGTCACTGTACCGCGTGTGTGTGTCATTGAACAGTGTGCATGTCATTGAAAAGTGTGTTTCTATCATCATACCGTGAATGTGTCATTGTATCGTGTGTGTCATAATACCGTGTGTGTGTGTGTCACTGTACTATGCTCCTGCAATAGTAACGTGTTTCTATCATTTTATCGTGTGTGTGGTAATTGTACCGCTTGTGTCACGGTACCGTGTGTGTTTGTGTGTGTAATTGTAATTTTTATGTGTCATAGCACCATGTGTGTGTCATTGTACTGTGTGTGTGTGTGTGTGTCATTATACCTTATGTGTCATTGTCATGTG